GGGGGGGGAGGCGGTTGGGGCACGCGTTGCGACCCAACCAAATGATCGCGATGTCCGTGAGTAAGCAGGCCCGCTCCGCTCCGCCAACTAAAGTGCTGACATTGCCAACGCTAGGGTGCCCCCTGGTTACCTCAGCTTATCCACGTAGACGTATACCATCCTGGCATTTTTGCACGTTTTTCTAGCCATGCTTTTCACTCCTTGTTCGTTTCTGACTCGTTTGTGTTTTGTTTCACGTTTCCAGGGAAAGCGTACGACCGCTGGAGGCCGGACCGCCGACGCCGACGTCGAGTGGCCCATCATGGTGTTGCGCGGAAATGGCGACGTGTACTCGGTGCTGGTGCCCCTCGCGGCCAAGGAGTGAGTACCGGAGTACTGTCCTTTACTAGAAATACAAGCGTACACCTATTTCTATGTATTTATTTTTTCTAATTTTTCTGTTTTATTTTTCTGCAAAGTTTCTGTTTTTCGGATTTTTTCAGATTTTTTTTTTTTTGGGGGGGGGGGGGGTGTAGTACACACTGATTTTTTTTAGTGAAGTACCTCTCGGGTTGAGCTGGCCCTGACCGTCGTGTTCCTTGTCGGCAGCGGCGGCGCCCTCCCGCGGCCGGTGGTGCGCGGGCCCCTCACCATGTACCCTCCGGCCGACGACAACTACGGCGTGGACGCGTGCTCCGTGCTGGTGCTGCAGACGTCGCCGCCGCTGCTGGTCGTGGCCACCAGCGCCGGCACCCTGTACCACTGCCTGCTGCTCTCCCCCGAGGACGGCGGCGGCGACGCGGCCGACCTCAGCCTGCGTGACCTCAGCATCCGGGACCTCCGGGACCTCAGCGCCGTGGACGACGAGGACGCACTGCGCAAGGAGGTCTCCAAGGTGGGAGATGTGATGCCAATGGTGGCACGGTTAAAAAAAAAAACACACACACAGTGCTGTCGCTAACTTGTCTTTCGCAAGGTCTGATGTGACTTTATGTTTTTCTCTCTTTTCCAGATGTGGACTTCGGTAGCCAACAACTCTCTGGCAGGGCAGCCAGTTTTACATGTATTCGAGTCTGTGGAGTTGGAACTTGGCCTGTCACTAGATGATGACCTATTGGGTGACGTGTCTTTTAACTGTCCATTACACCTCCAAAACCACCCAACCTCAAATGATAGGTATTTACATATTTTTTTTAAATTCATTTTAAAACATGTTAATAATCATCTAACATTTCTTTTTTTTTACAACAGTTCTGTACTCTATTTTATTTTTATTTTTATTGTTCAGGTATCTCGTCAGTCATGAGGCAGGCATTCACATTCTTTTCCTCCCAATAGTTGCCCAGCTCACTAAATTTGTCAACGCGTCTGATGGTAAGATCTCTTATATTCTGTTTATTTTTTATGCTTACAATTTTAAGAACTTGAAAGAAATTGAAACATTTACAGATTATGCTGAAAGCTGTCTTCCAAAATTCGACAGCCAAAGTAACTCAGTCGCTGAATACCTACTCTGCACCAGAGTTTGTGGAGGAGGAAATGGAAATGTGCCATCAGAAAGCTCTACAACATCACCCATCTTAGGGCTTGCTTTGAGCTCCGCTCCTGCCACACTCATTGCTCTTTTGGCCGGAGGGGAGGTTGTGAGCCTTCTTCTTTCATCTCTGCATTTGCCATCCATCTCTTCTCAGTCCATTCTCTCCTTGAATTCTCTAACAGGCAACCCCAAAGTACTTGATTCAAATCGCAATGTTCTTCTCTATAATCAATCTCAGTAAAAATGTTAAATTTGGGTGGAATTTTTTTGTTTCAGCTTAATGAAGAAGCCTTTGATGAACATATTCGCAAACTGTTAAAACATCGAGGAACCCTACCTATATTTAAATTTGAGGAAAAAGCAATGTCATCTCCTCAAGAAGCATTGAAGGTATTATTTATTTATTTTATGATGGTAATGTGGTAATCTAAAATGTTTTGGTTATCTTCCATCACTTACCACTTTTTTTCCTTATCAGTTCATTAATCGTGGAACACAACTTCTGTATGAAAAGTATTTTCAAAGGCATGAACAAGCCCATGAAGATATTGAAAATAGGTAAGATTACATTAGCCAGAAACGCTAATTATGTATCTAAATCATTTTTTTTTCTTTCTATCTTCTCTATTTGTCTTGATTTAGAATGAAACGTCTTCAGAGAATTAAGGAACATCAACTGAGTGATCTCTCAAATTTAGAGAAAGAAAGATCAGATTTGAAATCTAAAGTAGAAGTGCTGGTTGAAAAACTGAATGAGATGAAAAAAAAACAAGAGGAACTTAGTGACCGGTCAGTATTTGTTCATTGTTTTGTTTGAACCTGATTGTCTTCAAGTTACGATGTGTATATCCCTGCTGGTTTTGTGGTTTTCCCCTGTAGAGCTGAACGTGTTCTACGAAATGCCAACATGAAACAGCCTCAGGTTTCCAATGCGGAAGTGCAAATGAGAAAAGATCTTAGCACTAAACAAATCAAATTGGTAGAGATGAGGGAGAAATTAGACAAGATAAGAAAATATTCAATGGATCAGAAGTCACAGGTAAATATTTGCATTTCTTAATCACAAAGTCTGTTAATATGCCATACGTTCCTATATTTTTTTATATTTATTTTTACATGCCAGTGCACGTTAATTGCTATGTCCTATTTGCAAAGAGTACTGCTCTCGTGAATTAACTCCTAATCTAATCTTTTCTCACAGTTGGACCGCTGGAACCTACACCAAAAGAAGAGAGTGGTTCCAATGAATGATACCCACCAAGATGTCATCAAGAACAACCTAAAACAAATGTATGTAGTACCACCACCTCTTTGACACCTTAACTTATAATTGCGTTTAGTGTGATTTTCTCATAACTAATCACATTCTGTCTTTCTTTTTCAGGAGGGAAGAATTAAGCTCATTAGTAGAAAAGGTGAAGTCAAGCCAAACAGAACTAGAATTGTAAGGTTCCCTTTTCCTGTTACTGAACTCTGTGTGATGATCTCACAAATTTGTCAACTTTTGTCAACTAACTTAATACAAATGTACCAAACTAAATGAATCAATAAAAATAAATGCAGAAACAACATGTACATATATTTTTTATTTTTTTTTCTAATGGGTGGTATTAAATTGATTTTTTTAATGATTATTTATATATTAGTTGAAAGTGTGCGAGATTCAACATTGTTGAAGCTTCCTCTCTTACGTACACAACGAAAGTACTAGGAGTTAAATGTCCGAATAGGGGGAGGGGGATGGGACGATAGCTGTAAATTGTTTTACGGGTCCCCTATCAACCCGTCCAGATTTTTCTGCCGCTGCGACATTTCTGTGGAGGCATGATGTAATCTTACCTCCATGGTGGAGGTAGGGTGTCCGTAAGAATACGCGGCAGCTCGATGGGTTGCCTACGCACTAGCGTGCAGGCGCGGAGGGCGCGGG